ATATATATATATATATATATATATATATATATATATATATATATATATATATATGTAATTAAGAGTTGGAAATCCACTTCCACTACCCTTTTATTTAGTAGGATAAATGATACATCACAACTCCAGTCTCATTATGAACAGCATTACAGTAATGCTGCTCAAAGGTTCTTTTAAAATGGCATTATACTTCTCTCGATTAAAAGATTTGTATATTTATGTTTCCACTCCTAAAGTCAGTTGCTTTATCTTTATTATCTTAACCGTGTTTATATTTCTTTCACAAGACAGACATTTGCTGAAAGTCCAGTGATACACAGAGCTAAGAAATCCCTATAGGAACTGAAAGGGTTTTATTAAATAATAACAGGATGCATGTGGCATGAGTTAAAAGGTGTAGGGTTGATCTTGTGATAACCATCTTTTGCTGATGCTGAACTTACATGTGATGCAGAACACACCAGCCACAGTGAGGGTCTCCTGAACTCAGACATTCTCCACAGGTTGTATACTGTTCACAGGATTCAACAGGAATCTGGGACACCTAGAGAGAGACAAAAAATAAAGCAAATTTAAGGCAATTGCAATACACTAAGAAAGCAAGCCTAACTCTGCTAACTTTTCCATATAAAATGACCCATTGATATTAAATTAAAACTCATAGGGCCTGAAAGATAAATAATTTGCCTCATATCTCTCTGTTTTTACTGAAATGACAGGAGAAATGGCACATAGAAAGGTAGATAAGATATAACAATGACTCGTTAAGTGTGGTTATCTATTCAGAAGTCAGCTTTGGAAATGAATGGTTCATTCTTCATATATCTCCCTTATTCTCTGGAAAAAATGCCACCACCTAAATGCAATTCTTTGATAAGGAATGTATTGATATCACTGGTTAATCAGAATGTCACTTTATCCAATGGCTATGTTCACACATGTTGTGTGAAGCTTAGCACAAGGTCTGAAGCTAATGTTTTAGACAAGATTCAAACTAAGTTTCAGACGCCTGTTAGAAAGACATTGTATTTAACCTTAAACACAACTGAAAGAGATGCTGATGTGTCCCTTAACTATAAATAAAGGGGAAGAGATTCCTAGGAGCAGTGGTTGTCAGGAGAAAAAACATTCCCCACTGGGCTAGCTATAGAGAACTGGTTGTCATGTAACCTAGTATGAACTGCATTAGCCAATTCGCTTCTTAATTCATGCTCAGATCATTCTACATATTGCTAGGAATTTTTCTTTTTCAAACGTATTAGCATCCTTTAAACAATGTGCTTGATCAATGAGCTCTGTTGCTGAGCTGAAATGAAACATATTCAGCGAAAATGTACACTCCCCCCCCAACATTAGTGAAATCATACCATATGCAATGTAAGAGTATTAAAACCAAGTAAGCACAATGAAATCCCATGAAATGTTGACGTTCTATGTCAATCATACAATAACTAATGATTTCTTCCTTTAAGTTGTTTTAGAGATACACTTTTTCAATAGTGATTTATGTCAAAAGTAGTTCAAAATAAATCAAGTTTAAATATTAATCATGTTTTTAAAATGCTACAAAACCTAACAGAAAATTAGAATAAAGCAAGAGCAACAATTCAACAAACAGAACATACCTTCAATATTGCAATGGTAAAATCAAGACCAAACATGAATATAAGCAAAATCACTAGTTAAAAACTTTTTAAATAAACAAAGCCCTCCTAGCTTCATTGCTAACACTTCTCTTGTTGCATTTCAAAGAGCTCTCACAGTTTGGCACAGATGCAAAAGAGTCTTGGAGGTGCAGTTGAAAGTTCTCCTTTATCTTTCCTCCAAAAGAACTGATAATGGGAAGTAGAAAATGGTGAACAGTAGCAACAATTGCCAAATTCTTACTTTAAGAAATAGTTTCTACATGAATTATGTAAGTAGCACAATCAAATTTGTACTAAACATATTCTGTTTTTTTTTAATTCTACTGTTTCCTAAGAATTAACAGCAGAATGTAGTATTGAAACAAAACTGTAGAATGACAGTCAATATATCATCTTTTAATTGTGTATTCATTTAACAGGGTAATTGCAACCTGCATAACTCTGAAATACTCTATTATGGCTGAGAATAAAGGGTTTGTTGAAAATCACATCATGAATCAGTATTATAGGAGAATAACAGAACTCCTAAACCCCATGAGATTCTCCATTTATTGACAGATATTAACCCTCTGACATTCATATTTTGATTTGAAGCAATAGCCACACTACTGAAATTTAACAAGATTCTAATTTAACACCATACTATGAGCTGAATTTTCACCATTCTGGCTGAAAGCAGATTATGGAACAGGAAAGCCTAGAAAAAAAAATACTCCAGAGAGTGTGGAACATATTAAGAGGCAGTTGAAATCCATATCAGTACACAGATGAACTTTGCAGAAATATATGACATTTTACTTGTTATATTCCACAGTGCTACTTATAAACATGTAATAAACCCATGCAGGGTGATAGCTGAACAGAATTCCCTATTGTAGCCAGATGCATATACATATCCAGATGACTCCCTTGACTTCACAGGTGATCTACACAATGAGAAACATACATATAACTGCCTGTGGATACTTGGCCTATTAATAACTTCTAAAAGACAGGCTCTTTCAGAGCAATCCACAGATTTAAAGCTATTATAGATTTAAAGCTATTATACAGCGTGTTGTTTCTTGGCAAAAAGAAATATCAACATAAGACAGATGTAATAGAAAGGGAAGCTAAAATGAAGAAGATGGAAAATGGGTAGTGAAAACTGATCAGTTACAAATTAATGATTCCATCTTACTGCCTGTTGGTACTTTGAGCAATTATGGGGTAATCTAGCAAGGCCAGAGAACAAGGTACAGCCTGTGTTGACAGATGGCCCAGCAGTCCAAGCTGAACATATCAAGGATCAATTCTTGGCTTATGCAAAGGGAGCCTGTTTGTTAGTGCCTCAAGCAATACTTCTCCTGGCTGAGTTTCAGATTAAAAAGCTGCTCTACCAAATGCCCAACCTCATGAATTATCAGAAAGAAGGGTGTGACTAAAGATGACAAGGTATTTGACACCATCTGGAGGAAAAATATACTGTGCCATCTCATTCTTAGGAAGACCTCATTCCATGATTTCAAAAATAGATTGGTAAAGTTCCCAGTATTCAGGGATATTGTAGGATTTGAAAAATGCAACCAGAAACCTGACCTATATATTGTATGGTAGAAGGTCTTCTGAAATTAAACCAATGAATGCTACTCAGAAATCAGACCATCCACTCAACATATTATGAAGTATTTTGGCCAATTTGATTAGGAAGCCATGGATATCTAGATAAAAATTACTAGGAAATGTATATGTTTGAGAAATGAAAATATGAACATACATACATTTCAATAACAGAGTTAAACAATGGAAACATTATTTTATCTACATACTGCCTCAAAATAGAAACAGTTCAAGTTTCATTTTCACACTCTTGGAAACTTCCCCTCTTTTTTTATTTTAGCAATTAAAATCATTTATGCAATGCCATGAAAATTCCTATATTTCCTTGGAAGTATCAATCCTATTTGTTTCTGGGATCCCATATAATCTAGATCCACCTTCTTAAGTCTTCCAGATACTGCTTGCTTGCTTATGTATTATCAAGTCATTTGCACCTCCTAGCAGTCAAATAGACACTTTTCTTATAATCATCTATCTGTAATCTTCCAGCAATGCACTAATTACCACTGTAACTGATTTTCTGCTGGTTGTCTTCTTCTCTTCCTTTCTCAGCATTAGAGCCTTCTCCACAGAGCTAGGTCTCACATAATGACTCTGGTCATTTGTGCCTTGAGTGAGAATACTGGTTTCATTTATTGATGATCTACTGATTTGTTTTCTTGGTGTCCATGATATTTTCAGGAATCTTTTCCCACACTAAAGTTCAAAAATGTCAATAATCTTCCTATTTTTCCAGATATATTGAATTATAATATCCATAATTTCCAGTTAATTATTTTGCCTGTAGATGTATTTACCTCATGCCTTCATAGTTTTCTTGATGCTCAATTGTTTCTTTCATAGTGTATAATTTATTATGTCAGGGTTTGATCCTGAAAGGAGATTAGTTAATAATTGAATAATATTACTAAATAGGCAAGCAAGTTCTTATTTTACAAGCTGGAGGGTAGAACAACTTCCCTGCTCTTTTACAACCAATTCTGAAGTGAGGTATCTTCACAATAAATGAGGGAATTATACACAATAATTTTGTAATGCAAACATATCAAATTGTAAGATAAAATTGGAGCTATTATAAATTCTCCATTTCTGATCTTTAATTTTTAAAATGTCTTACTTTCATTATTGCAATTATGTTACTCCTGCTGCCAAGTTTGTTCCCATAGGTGAATGCAAAAAGATCTAGTTTGAGAGCTAAGTTATTAAGTGTATGTTTGCCCTAGAATCTAATCTAGTAAGTTTGTTAAAATATCTGAAACATGCAAGGCAGAAATGAAGTTCTGGAGGGGAGAATGTATATTGTGGTTACGTTACAATAGAAAGATTTGTGTTTGTTTTCTTCTGGCATTATATATACAACTATAATAAAGAAAAGAGGAGTTGGGGGAGAAGAAAGAACTGAAAGAGAAAGGAACTCCCTGGGGCTAAAATGAAAGTGAAGAGGAAAATGTACTCCTTCCCCCACCACCACAAAAGGGGCTTCATGCTCCAGTAGATTGCAGAGAAACATCTGATTCTTGCTCCAGTTCTCCTACATGTATTAATGCTGCCTGCTGTATCTGTTACATTCAGCAATCAGCTCGCTTTCTACCCTGCCATACGAATGTAGTTCTTATGCTGAGCTAACTAAGAACCCAGTCTCTTTTTTCTCCCTGATTCTTGTGAGTGATGTCGGCAACTGGCTGGGAATTAAAACAACTGACTGCATTACATTTGCTCAGTCCGTCAAAACACTGCCCTGCTCCCAGCAGCTGGAGAGTCAGAAGCTGAAAGGAATCAGTGTATCCTAGAACAAAGGCTACTTTCATGCCAAATACGTTTGATACAGTGAGAACTCAGTTCCTCTCTACATTTGAAACCAATAAGGCCCTTCTTTCTCTTATTTCCTGGGTCCTACTTAACAGATTTTTCCAGGGAGAGGAGAAGAGAAAAAAAAAATCAGTGGTTATGAAGTCACAAATAAGTGTAGTGATAACATTCTAAGGGACCTGCTGCTATGCCAAGTTGAATGAAATATAATGTTAAATCCTTTCCTAAGGGAAACAATGCTATTGTTTGATCTGTGCCAAAATCTGTGGCTGTTAGTGTAAATTAATTTAGTAGTAAACTAATAAGGATATGTCAGGGCTTCCAAGCCCAATTCAAGGTGCTGTTCTTGACCTTTCAAGACCTTTATGGCATGGGACTGGGTTATTTGAGGAACTGCTCTCCTTGATTACATCTGCCCACCCCATCACATCTGGCAAGAGAGACATGCTACAGATCCTGTCTGTCAAGGCAAGTACATTTGGAGACCCCA